TTACAGCTACTTGTGTTCAAGTAGTATGAACTGGGCTAAGAGGTTTCTAAGCACTGTGCCGATGAGCATTTTGCAAGGCAGATCTTTGTATCCCATTTTATAGGTGAGGAAATAGGCTCACAGGGTTAACTAACATGGTTATCTAGCTAGGAAGCAGCAGGGCCAGGATTGGAACCCAGATTTCTCTGGCTATGAAGCCCAAATTTTACTTCACATGGAACAGGAGCACATGCCCAAAATGTCTATGCCAAGAAGCGATAGCGTGGCAACCACTCCTAACTGCTCAGCTTACCTAGGGAGGCCAGGCAGCGGGGAGCCAGACGAGGCATCCAGGTATACCGGGAGGAGAGCCATGGTCTTCTGGGGGTGACCAGCCTGGTGGGCCATCTGGGAAGGTTCCTAGGGAGACCGTGTCTAAGCCTGGCCGTGTCTTGAGTAACAGAAAGAATTGGGCTGAGAAATACATGGTCAGAGGATCCAGGGCAGGAATGAGCTCATCCTGGCCCAGGAACCCCACCGGTGACTCAGGGTGACAGCAAGTCAGGATGCACCCTCTGACGCATTGCTGAGGGCTTGTGGTCATTTGTGAGAAATAACTGTCACACCCCTGTAAGACACATGCTCCTGGCCCAGAGGTGATTTGGAACAAGTCACCATAAAAATTCCATACCACCTTCCTCACCACGGGAAGTACTGCACTGTGCCATCTGGAATATGCAAGAATGATTTCTGAACCTGTGGGAGGGAGGATGAGGCTGGTGCGCAAAGCAAAACACTGGTTCCCATTCATGAAAGCAAGGCCCGCCCCCCTCACCTCACCAGCAGGGTTTGAACAACATCCCTGGACTCTCCCACTGCTGTGGGCAGGTCCACGGGGCTCCGGGGGAACTCAGATACAGAATCAGCTTCGCTTCCCTGTGGCTGTTAGACCCGCTTTTAACACCAAAGGGGAAAATGTCTGATGACAGTCTGGGGCACTGAGCAGGTACCCTTCTTATTCTCACCACAGCGCCATGCCCACTAATGGCAGTCTTGGCAAGGCATTTACCCTGTCTCAGACTTAGCTCTTCATCCGTGAAATGGACTGACACCAGCCCTGCGAGGGTGTTAAAAAGTAGAGACAGCCCAGGTAAAGGGATTTAGTGCATGTTACACAGCAAGGAGCGGCTCCTGTGGGGCATGGCTTCAGTGTTTGGACAGGCTCAAGCCTCGGACTAATGAGAGGGCACAGTCCTCTCGTGGCCACGTGCAAGTCCCAGCTTGGAGGGCAGAGCCCTCCCAGCACAATTATAACCAACAGCTATAGTTGTAAGCATCAACCTGTGGTCTGAACACGTGGCCCCACCTGCCTGAGTGATAGAGTTCAGGTGCATGTAGTTGAGAGGGATTGAAACCCACGAGAATGTTGTGCACATATTGACCACGCCCTTACTTTGCCTCGTGGCATTTGCTATAAAATAAAGACACGGAGTGTGGGGTGCTGTGCTGTCTTTCAGGAAGCAGCGCCCCACCAAGACCCAGCTTTCATTCTCTTGTCTGTCTTTTCCAAGCCTTTCAGTCTCCCCCACTCAGGGTCACCCTTGGCCGTACCGACGCAGCACAGGCTCCTTAAACTGCCATTACTACAATTATACCACTATTACAATTCTGCTCTTCTTCCTCCATCCCAACCCCATTACCAAACGCATGCCCTCTTCCTACCTCCACTTCCCTTGTTTGTCCTCACCATGTAGTATCAATAGTACTATACTTTGAAAAAATTCTATCTACTGTCATTCTCTTAAAATTTCCACATAAAAATCTTCTCTCTCCAACTAGATCAAAGTTCTTTTAAAAAGTAGGGAGGAGACGGGTTTAGGGAATGGTCTTCTGATATGTCCTAGGAATCCTCCAGAGCACTGGGCCTGGCTCTGCTCATACCAGTGGGCACTACAACAACTGATGGTCAGCAAACTCTTTAGTCAACAGAGCCAAATATCAACAGTACAACAATTGGAATTTCTTTTGAGAGCCAAATTTTTTTTTTAACAACTTCGTCTAGTGCCACTTCAAAATAGACTTGCCAGGACAGTGATGTTTTGTGGAAGAGCCACACTCAAGGGGCCAAAGAGCTTGTGAGCCGCGGTTTGCTGACCCCAGGTCTATACTGTTACTGTCCTCAATGCCTTGTTGGGAATGGGAAAGAAACTGTGTACCAGGTCCCTGGAGCCTGAGACCAGCGATACATCACTGAATCTAAGCATAAACCTTAAGAAATCTGTCTCAATTGCATTGTCTTCTTTCCTTGGGATAAGACAAAATCTCCTCCACCCCAGAGTCCACCACACTTCCCAGGCTTTGTTTATAAAACATGTGTGTAGGAACTCATCTTTTCAAGAGGTGTTTGTCCTTTTTGAATAGCCAACATACAGGAGAGTGAAGGGGAGGGGTTATAATAATGCTGGGCCATTGTGTCATTTCCAAAATCCAGAAGATGCTTACACTGAAAGTGCAGTAATTCTGTGAAAAGCCTAAACAGTTGCTGAGATTTGCGACGCAACTCTCTACAGCAAGAAGCCAGGAACACAAAGGCAGGACAGAACAAGCTGTGCTCCACAGACACGTCGTGTGTGAGCCCCAAGCCGGGAGGATGTGCCTCCCGCCAGTTGTCCGGAGAGTGCACTCAACCCTGCCAGGTCGCTGGACGCCACCACACTCCCAATTCTCTCCTGCACGCGAATACAGAGCTGTATAGAAGAGGAAAGCTATTTTTTGTTCAATATTTTTTCACAAGCCTTCCTGACTTCTCTTCTTCAGTGATGGGAATATTCATGACATAACCCGTAGCCGTGGCAAAGTCAGAGCAGGGTGCATTATACAGGAGCCTTACCTTTATTTCCTCAAATATTCTTCACATATCGTGAGAAATTGGGAAATGTAAAATTCAAGTACACTGTAATAAGGAAAGTCCGTTCTGTAAATACCAACTAACGTGTCATAATAAACGTTTCTGTTGTGATCAAATATACAGTTGTCCGTTTTTTATGCTGCGCTCTTTGCAGCCCCCTAGTGGTTGGGAGGAGGAAAAAGGAAGAATGGAGTATTCAGACAGCAACCTCACGCTGCAGAGCCAATCAACTTTTACCCAGGGAAGACAAATGGCTTGTTTCACCATGAAATGAACACACATATTCTCAGTGGGGGACATGAAAAGTGTTCAAATTAACATAATTGTTCAAGTAAATGTGAAATCACGTTAGCCTGGATTTTTTTTTCTTTTTAATCTTTATTTTCTCTATAAAGCTTTCCATGCTGACCTGAGAACTCCACAATGATGGGCACACCAGTTCTTCCCACACCAGTTCTTCTTCCCACTTGCTGTGAACTCCCCTGTGTGTAGACATTCGCTTATACATATACCATTCCCTCTATTACAAAGTGATGGAAAATCTCCAAAAATAATCATTTGCCTGTTTAGCCCAGTGTCTATAGTGGGGAAGAGGTTTGGAGTTCATTGGTTTATATTTGTTTCACCAAAGCACCAGTCTCTCTGCATTCAGCAACTCGTGTTCATAATGAATGTTTGTTTCCCCAAAAATGAAGTGGCCCCTCCAGTCAAGGGGGAGAGGGGGAATCCGATGAAAAGAAATAGGATGCCTGCTTATAAAATAGTTTTGAAATCATGTTACCAAAAAAGTAAGAGATTACAGAATACACAACAACTCTCCTATTCGCACATTTATCACTCTCAAGTTGCAAGAAAGACAAACACTACCCAGGCCCAGAGGAGGTTAATGGTCTGCCTCTCTGCCTCTCTCTCCTCATCTTCCAAAAAGTAATTAAACCCGGTATACATTCCTTCCCTGACTGGTAAGCTATGGCTCAAAGCCAGTTTGCAAAATCAAGTTGCCTCCAGTAGGGAGCCTCTTTACCTAAGGATGAAAACCCTTTCAAACCTCGGATGAGGGTCAGACAAGATTCCCGTGACCATGTTACGGTACCTGGCCGATGTGGCCACAGCCCTCAGACCAAACGCACGCCGGCGCAGAGAATCAACAAGTTACCACTGAACCGGGCGCTGCAGCCCAGATCGGTATTGCCTCCCCAGCGCCCACTGCCACCTAACGGTAACCCCACCCCACCCTCTGCCCCATCTACTCCTCCCTAGACTCTCTCCAAAGGTCCTTTAGCACGTGACCTTCTCTTCAGACCCGCCCTCCCGGCGCCCCCACCCCGGCGCTCCCCCGGCTCTCCAGGCAGCGGTCAGACTCCGCCGCTCGCCAGCCGGGTCTGCAGACAGCGCCAGGCCTGCGCCGCGATCGCGCCTTCCCGGGCCGGAGGGATAGGGAGGTCGAGATCTCCTACCGAACGAACGGGGCGGCCGGCTCCTCCGCCCACCTGCGCCCCAGCGGAGTGGAGAGCGTCACCTGCCGCACTTCTCCCCGACTTCACCCTCCCCCCCGCACTCCCGGAGGGCGCGTGTCCCCAAGGGAGCAGACCCGCCCAGGGGAAAACTGGGGCGAGCCAGACAGGGGGGAAGAGGAGGGAAGGAGGGGTTCCCCTGGGGGCCATAAGTTCCCACCCATCCCCGAGCTGGGAGCCGAGCTCGGCTCCCTCCTTGGAAGGCACAGCCGCCGATCCTCCCTGCGGGCAGGAGCAGACCACCGCCTCCCCTCCCCGCGCCAGCGCCCCGCTCCAGCCGCCGTGCCCAGCCGGCGCCCGCGACTCCCGGCGCCCCCCTCCACCCCCACCCCAGCAAGGCGGCCCCCGAAGTTGTCCAGACTCCCCAAAGCTCGCTCCTCCGCGGCCCCTGGACCCCGCCCCGAAGTTGGGCCGGCGCCTGCAGGTGGAACGTCTCGGGTCCCCCGGCGCAGGGCGCTCGCTCACTTCGGGGATCCCGGCCGCGCCCCGAAACCCGGGGAGCTGCGGCAAGGGAGGGCGCACGGACACACGGAGCGTGTGAGCCGGGTCCCCGCCGCCGCCGGCGCCCTCGGAGGGAAGGAAACTTCCCCAGCACCCACCTTTCGCCGCGAGGAGGCGGCGCCGCCGGCTGCTGCCTCCGCCGCCTTCGCTGCCGCCGCCGCTCCCCACGCCCAGCGCCAGCAGGAGCGGCACCCAGCTCAGCCGCCCCGGCAGCATCCTCGCCGCCGCCGCCCGGGGCTGTCTGCCGCCCGCGCCCGCGCCCGCCGGCTGCGCCTCGGTATCCGCCCGGCCGCCTCGCCGCTCCCGCTGCGCGCGCTCCGGGCGCTCGGCCTCCGCTGCCTCCGCTGCCTCCGCTGCCTCAGGTGCCACCGCCGCGCCACTCGCTCGCCGGCAGCCGCCGCGCTCACTGGCTCGGACCCCGAGCGGCTCCGGCGCTCACCCCGGGACGGCCCGTGACGTCACGGGGGGAGGGAGGTGGCTCCTGCATATTCATGAGGCGCGGACAGCGGTCCCGGCCTCCGCGCTCCCGGCTCCGCAGCCCCGACCCCAACTTTCCTCCTCCGCCCTCCCGGCGGGCGCTCCGTCCGCGCTCCAGGCGGGACCGGGCTCCCGGAGCCCCGGGGGCGGCCGCGGGGAGCCCTCCGCCCCGCGCCCCAGCTCCGGCTCTGCAAACAGCTGCCTCCTCCGGGGATGGCGGGACCCCCCCCCCTCGGAAAGGGGTCACCCGGGGCCTGAATCTGGTCCGCGGGGGCGCCGGGGACCTGCCCGGCCACGCCCTGGGAGCTGCTGTCCGCGCGGAGGGTGGCGGGCGTCGCTGCGGGTCTTGCCCTTGGCGGGTGTCGGGGAGCTCTCTGCCGTCTGGTCTGGGGAGGGCGCCAGGCCCACGCGAGAGCTGGAAAGCGGGAGTGTAGCTCCGAGTTGTACGGCCGGGTGAAGCCAGGGCTGCGGTGGCTCTCAGACGCTGATACATCAAATCAGAAAAGGCAAACTTGGGAGTGCTGGGCCTGCTGTCTGTTCCGCGGGAGCGCACACAGACTTCCCCGCAGCATGGTGCCCAGGCCAGAAGGTCCACCTTTATGTGATCACGCCACCCATCTTAAGACCGGGCCACCTAACATCATGCATTGTAACAGACACCTTATGTCCCCAAGGAATGTCAGTTCTCTGTGCGCAGGGATCCGGCTCCGCTTAGCCCAGGCCAGGTTCCTAAAGGTTCTCAGTGAACATTAACTACTAGCTCAGAATAAGTCCTTGACCATATTTGCATATATGTAGTGCCAATATCATACACACACAGTTCAGAGCTTATAAAGAACAAATAGCGAAATAAGATAGAGAAGTAGGGGGGGGGGGGGAAGGTAGTTATTTATTCATTAATTCAACACATTTACCATCACCCTGCCAGAGTAGACAGTAGAGATCCCGACCAAGGAGAGCTGTCTGTCCTCTCCTCAACACCTTTGTTCCCGTCTGAGAAGCAAGAGAGAGCGGTAAAGGACAATCATCATGCTTTGTAAGTGTTATGGGCCCGGATATTCTTTATATTGCTAGATATGAGCTTATACACTTCAATGAACAAAATGTATATATTACAGCAATGTCTAAACACCATTCTATAATTCGTAACTGTAGGTTGGGGTGCTCACCAAAGCAATAAAGTCCATTCACAGCCCTCGTGCTGCTCAGCCTCTCTGCTCCACCCTGGCAGCGCGCCAGGAGACCCCTCAGTTTTGCAGGCCAGGCTGTTTGGGGGAGTCTGGTGGAGAGGCAGCCATGAATCATGGAGGCTTATATCGGGCAGAGCGCTTCACCGGCGGGTCTCCTTTAACCCACACAACTGACATCTGTGCTTTACTAGTATTTTCATTGCACACATGGGGAAATGGAGGCTCGGATTAGTTAGGCTCGGATAAATGCCCTGAGCCAATGCTAGGGTCTTGCCTTTTTGCAGACTGGGTGTCAGGATTCAGAGAAGATGGCCTGGGGAAAGGGGAGCAGACCTGACACCATCAGGGAAACCTACAAATAGAAGTATACATTTGTATCATATTCTTCAATTTATGCTCCCTCCAATTACATATCTGCCTCACCTTCATTTTCTCTAATAAGAAGGCTTACCTTACCATCTTACCTGCACTGTGCCTCGATGCCATTCTACGGGGTTTCATTGGGACTAATTGGTTAGTCCTAAAAATCTTACATGAAATTTCAAGTGAACAAATAATGGGAGAGAGGGAGAAATATTATAGCTTATTGGGAAACATTCCCAACTCCTGTCGTAGATCACTACTAGTAAGAAAGTACACAGAAGAACTAGGGAGCAGGCCAATGCCCAGGACTAGAGGCACAGCATTGCTAGCCTCCATCTCCTCCTCTGTAATAGAGGTAATAATGTTGCCAGTTGCGGAAGAACAAGTACACTAATGGCCCCCTTTGTTCATGCCTTTCTGAATCCATTCCCTCTGGATGTGCTCTCCTACCCTCACTCAGAGCTCGGCCACATGACAGTGACATGCATGTTTCCTCTTCCTTTTTTTGGACTCCTGCCACCACCATGAGAACAAGCCCAAGATAACCTCTAAGAAGGTAAGAGACCACATTGGGTGGAGCTGAGCCATCTCAGCCAGCCAAGGCCATCCTAGTCTGGTCTATTCCAGTTGCCCCATCGGTTGACAACCAGAGCAAAACCAGCCAAGATCAGCCAAGCCTAGATCACATCAGAGCTGCCCACTAAACCACTAATATTTTAGGGAAGTTGATGAATGAGTATTACATCTTCTCCTAAGGTCATGAGAAAATGTATATGAAAACTCAATATGTTGTCTGTCACATAGCCAATATCCAATAAATGGTCTCCCTATAATCCTTATGTCCCAATCTCTGAAATGCCAGTCACAACCCTGACTTTTTTTGTTTGGGAGAAAGGCACTAACAACCTGGCCTAGAAGAGATGAAGGTGAATAAGTTCACTCCTTGGAAATACTCAGTCCACATGAGCTTCAAGACCACATCATCTGTATGGAGCTCTGCTGTGTCCTCTGCTTCTGCTGAGCTCCTGAAGTTGCCAAAAGTGAATAAAACAACCCAACAGCTAATGCATCCCCTTTCACTCCGTGCCAGGCTTTGCCACCAGGTTTTACGTTGCATACTTCATTTAACCCTTACAATAACAGGTATTATTCTCTCTATTTTATTATATCCAAATTACTGGATCACGAAGTTTGAGAAATTTACCTGCATCCACATAAATTGTACAGAATATGAATTCATGTCTGCCTGATTCCAAATCCCATCTTTCTCCCACATATCATGGTTTTGAGTGAAGCATGCAAGGTAAGTAAGAAAAAATAAATTAAAAAAAAATAGTTTCAAATCAGAGATGGTATCCTGGGGGAGGGGATGGTTTTTAAAATCTCCATCCATTATTACCTCTGCATAACGATCATTTATATAACCAATCGTCACCAAAGTGATACAAACTTCTGAATTTGTTGAGTCTGCCCCCTTTATTCTTGATTCGCCTCTGGGACATGTTTCTTTAAAGCCCTTGCTCAAAAAATGATCAACAGGATGATGTAAGGCCTTGGCCTCTTTAAGCCTCAAGCCCAGGGCCCCACCTGGTGATGCAGAAATACAATAAATCTTAGACAATTTATTTGGGTCAATGGTTTCAAATAAATAACTCTCCTGCTAAAAAAAAAAAAAAAAAAAAAAAAAAAAGAATCTAACAGCAACAGGCATGATGTAAACACGGCCATTTCATCTCGTTTTTACCAGGGTCATTAATGACTTGCCCAATTAAGCACTAAAACACAGACCCTGAATAATTTAGACTGGCTAAATGAAGAAAATAAATAAATCATACCAGCTTATGGAAACTTACTTTTAAAAAAGAAAATTAAACTAAAGTTCTTATCTTTAAAAGAGAGGCTGAAAAGCTGATTCGTAAAACACTGGGAGTCATCGGGGCAGGCAAAACCAGGTCTTCAGGACCCACAAGCGCCTGGACAGGTGACAGAATTTTCAGTATTGCTCTCAGGTATTTTGGTGCTATGCAGATGCCGCTGCTGCCAAGCAGCTTTTTCAAGTTCAGACATTTCCCTTCAGGAAAAAAGCAAGGAAGCTTGTTCACGATCAAATCCAGTTGATGTTCAACATTGTTTAGACAAGAGTGTTCTATGCTTGGTAAGGCAGAGTGACCTAACCGAAAACAAAGATGTCATTGATTATAGCAAGAAAGTGTTCCTATGGTAGCATAAAAAAAAGAAGCCATAAAAGTGAGTGATACTTCTCCAATTGAGGGATGGGAGCTCTCTCTCTCTCTCTTCTCCTGGAATCTGAGCAGCCTTGTGACTGCCTCTACTGGTTCAATTCAGGAGAAGCCGTGCTATGTGACTTCCCAGCCTAGATCATCGAGGTGATGCAGCTTCTGCCTTGTGCACTAGGATGCTCATTTTGGGAGTCGGGAGTCTTGATGTCCAACCAACCCTGAGACAGCCATGCTGTGAGGATCGGAAGCCATGCGTTGCCTGCCCCTGGTGAGTCCAATGCTTGAGTCACCCCAGAACCTCCAGATATTCCATTTCCTAGCTGCTGAGTCACCCTCAGCTGTTTGAATCTTCCCAACTGAGCCTCAAACATCAAGAAGCAGAATCAAGCCATTCCCAGGGTGCCATGAATTCCCGACCCACAGATTCCATGAGTCTCAGAAAACGATTGTGTATGCCATTGAGTCAAGCTGTTCTGCCTCCAACTGGGAAATACTTGTTTTCATTCATCCCCTACAACAAAGGCTGAGGAAAGGGAAATATGTGAGGTAATTCATGTGTAATTAATCCCATTTTGTAGCACAAATGTTGAGACTTATCAAAGCTCTAAAAGGGACAGGAGCTGCATGGGAAAAAAATGATTTCTGGAATCAGAAAAGCCTAGGTTCCAAACCCAGGTCTACCGTTTGACCTGAGAAAGCTGCTTACTATGTTTGAACCTTAGTTTCCCCCTCTATAAATTGGAAATAATATAACAGGATTGTTTTTGAGGTTAAATGAAGGGTAAAGAGCTCTCCCTGTCAGATGGTAGAGACACAGGAAATACAGCCATTGACAGTGATAGTGGAAACTCACTCAGGGCCACACAGATGGCTTTTTTTTTTTTTTTTTTTTTTTTTTTTTTTTTTTTACCAGTATTTGTGGTTTCCTATGCAGGCAAATGTGCAC